CGGGTAGTGATGGGGAGCCATGGGGAGTGATGGGGAGCGATGCTCCTGGGGCTGGAGCAGGCACAGCCCGGCGGAGCACAGGGTCCCCCACAAAACCTGCCTGTGAATGAGCATTTCCAGCTGGCACGTCGTGCTGGGGGTGTCCCCGTGGCCTGTCCCCTCTGCCCACGGCATCGCTCGGAGGTGTCTGGCAGACCCCAGTGCACAGCTCGGGCTGGAGGAGGGCACGCAAGGGGGCTTGGGTGGGGGGAAATGCAACCATTTGCTAAATCGGGGCTCCTGACGAGGGAAATGTGTCCCTTGGAAAGAGCCATCAGGGCCAAAGCTGCACCTGGGGTAAGCCAGCATGAATGGGGCAGCCGTAATAGGGCTGTAACAGCCTTTCAGCGGGGCACGTGTCTCTGCTGGACTGAGAAGGAGGGATAAGAGCAATTTTTCTTTCCATCAAATTATCTGTAAAACCCAGGCATGACTCATCCAGGCTCAGCTTTTAGGCTGCCCCAGCCCTCCCCCAGTGTACTGGCAAATCCACGCAGGACGTCCCACTGTGTCCCTTCTCCCCTTTCCCCCTGCCAACCCCAAGGACCAGCAGCCCACCCTACACCGCATCTCCCTGGGGAGGATCCCATGCGGTGCAGCTGCACCAGCAGCTTGCAAAGCTGGGGGGTCCCCTCGCTCACTGAACAGCCTGCCAAACCCCATGCAAACAGTGATGCTTCAAAAAATAAACCAGCACCCCCCCTTCAACACACAAAGCAGCCTTGCCTCTGCCCTCCGGCTCTGCCAAGGGCCAAAACCTCCCAGTTCATTGCATCTCTCAGCACCAGTCTTTGCTGTCCAAAAACCTGCTGCCGCGCCGGGGCTTCACAGCACCATGGTGGGGATGTGATGGGCCAGGGAGGCAGGATGGGGCACGGGCAGGGCTGGCGAGTGAGCCTGCAGGGAGGCGTTGGGGGGCCGATGGCGAGCACTCTTCTGGTGTGCCCGCAGCCCGGCGAGTTGGGAGTAGGCACTTTGGCAAACCTGGCACTTGTAGGGACGCTCGCCGGTGTGCAAGCGGACGTGGTTGCGGAGGGTGGAGGACTGGCTGAAGCGGCGGTTGCAGAAGCGGCACACGAAGGGCTTGTCCAGGGTGTGGATGCGCATGTGGGAGCGCAGGTTGCTGCGGGAGTTGAAGCCCCGGTGGCAGATAACGCAACGCATGCGTCCTGTCGTGCTGGCCCCCGTCTCCATCGCGTGGAAGTCCTCTGGGGACAACAGGGGACAGTCAGACCTTGCCCTACAACAGAACAGCTCAGCCCCTCCCCGAACCCCCCAAGGTGCTGCTGACTGCCCCAAATAACCACCCCATGCCCCCTCGCTGGCTCCCTGCCCGCTGAGGACGCCTGCTCCTGGAGACCCCCATGCCGGGCATAGCGGGGTCACAGGCAGGCACTCAGGGCTTCGGGATGGGGCTAGAGCTGGGAACAGGCTCGCGCAAATTAAGGTGAGGGGGAACACTCAAGCCAACCCGTCTCCCCTACAGATGGGCACAAAAAGCACTTTTCCCCTTCTTGGGCTGCAAGCAGAGCTGGAGAGGGCGAGCGCGGGAACCCCCAGCCCACAACCACGCTGCTCTGGCCTCCAGCCCGGTCTATTGAGCAGCAACACGCTGTCCCTGTGTTGGTCCCAGCTTCTCCCCCTGCTCTGCTGGGCTCCGACCCGGCTCTCTTGGATCAGAGAGTGGGGCTGGGGCGCACAGATGGGGTCTGGCTCTGAACTCAGCATCCCCCAAAAGTGCCTGAGAGCTCTGTTGACTGCCCATGGAGGAGTGCCTCAGGGAACCACCGAGACAAGCAGAGAGCAAAAGCATGGGGAGAAAGTCTCCTGCGATGGTGACTTGGGGAAAGCTCTGTTAAACGCAGAATGGGGACGTAGGCAGCTGCATCCACTCGGCATTTCGCAGTGCGTGGGGGCTGCCTTCCTCCTGCTCACACGCCTGCTCTGCTCCTCCCTGCCCGGCTGGGTCGGGCAATGGCTGCTGGCCACCGCGCCAGCAATAGCCATGGGCAAACCTGCACGGAGGCGACCCCTGAGTTACTAGAGACCTGCGCAAGCTGTATGGATCTGTCTCTTAATCCCTGTGTCTGTCTACAGAGAGCTGGGGGATCTCACGTATCCCCTGGGATGTCCCTGCCCCATGCCCACCACATGGCCTCAGAGCTGGGGACAGGGTGAACGAAGAACAGGCAAGGATGCTGCACCCATGGCTGTGTTCGATGTAACCTACCATGTTTGTTCTTCTTCTGCTCCTCTTCCAGCCCCGGCACACCCGGGATGCCCAGGAAGGTGTTGTGGGAGTTCCCGTACCAGACCAGCAGCTCTTGGTCCGGTGGAATCATCTAGAAATAGAGATACAGACAAGAATGTCAGGAAGGGACGGCAAACAGCTCACTGTGCATCCTCAGCTGGTTGCTTCGGACCCGCCCTGGCCATATCCCACCTCCTGTGAGACCCTGCTGCCATCTGGGACCTGCCTGCGGTCCCCAGCACCCCCTGGGCAGGCACGGCACGGCCAAGACTGCAGCACTGGAGGTGATGGCTCAGCACCATCTACCACCGGCACCAACCTGCACTGCTGTCTCCCCCAGGCTGGGCCACAAACAACGTGGCAGGCAAATAAGCAGCTACAGAGCACACAGATGGAGCTGGGGTCTCTGGAGTGAAGGACTCGGAGGTCCCTGCAGCTCGAGGAGACGAAGACATGGTGGCAGATGAAGACATGGAGAAATAAGCCGTTTGTGGGCCCATGAACTGCAGCAATGCACAAGTGACAGAGACCAAAGCAGGGAAACACGGAGCCCTGGCTCAGTGCTTCTGCAGAGCATTTCGGCTCTGGATGAAGCCATCGGCACCCTCCTGCTTTAGGGCACAGGCAGCATCTCCCACCCGACCCCACTGAGGTTTATTTTAGAAGGCAGAAACGCAGATGTGCCACGAAGGGCTCATCAGCCCGAGGATCGTAGGAGAGCTCAGGGGCTGCTATAGGAGAGCGTGGCTCGAGTGCGAGATGCTGCCTACATCCCACACGAAAGCCACGGTGCCTGCAACAGCCCAAGGAGATGTATAGGGCCAGGGAAGGGCTTTTGCACCACCCACGCTCCTGTTTCCCTGAAGCGAAAACATTTCTCCTTCCCCTGTTGTTCCCGTTATGTCCCTGCACTGCCGGGGCAGCCGGAGTGAGCAGTCGGGAAATGTCGTTAAAGCCTCCCCGTGTGAAGCAGCCGTGGCTGGGAAGACGGGTGCTCTCACACTGGTTCAGGCAACACTAATAACAACATCACTTTATAAAAGACACACATATTTTCCCCTTGCAGGTCCCTAGTGTTAAGAACATAATTTAGAAATGGGAAAATCCTGCATTTCAGAGGACGGCTTTCCATACACAGAGTAGTCCAAGAAAAGCATCATCTGCATGAAACAGAGAACATAGGTTAGATCAGCCGAGCACTGAAAATGTGCTTAATTTTAAGCACCCGAAAGCAGTGGGAATTTGGCTTTATATGTTTAAGCATCCATCTGCATAAAGACCTCACTGGGGCTGCAGAGTAGGAATTTAGGAGGCAAGGGAAGCCGATATCATTTTGCGTCCCAAATCGGTGCTGTTTTGTGGCATCATTTTCTCTTAACAGCAAATGAATTATTTTTAATACAAGCAAGTAGAATAAAATATTGCGAAAAGGATAAAACACATTGCATGCGTGCATATGCATCTGCATGCATGTTCTATTCTGCTGCAGCTGGTGCACCTATGCCAGCAGCAGGTGAGCACTCATGTGCATACACCCCAAAGCAATTTAAATTGCCCCCCAGGAATCTCACGGCCTTCAGATGAAAGCCCAAAACTCGCTGCCCTCGCTTTATTTTCCAGCAGCGGCAACTTGGAAATGCTGAGGAAGAGGATGGGAAAAACAAACAAGCAAGTAGGAAAAAAAACACATGAAAATATTAAAGGCAAATAGCGAAAAAGGCATGCAATAAATCTGAATTTGTGCTGGGTAGATGAGAAAGGCGTCCTAAGAAAAACATCCTAAGAGATACTGCGCTGGAGTGATGGTGCAGAGCGACAGGGGCTGGGCAGCTCCCGGTGTCCTCTGGGGAGGGGATGCAGCGGGCACGGGGCAGGAGGCTGTGCCAGGAGGGGCAGGAGGTGGTGCAGCCCCCCACAGCTGGTAGGGGATGGAGGGTGGCAGTGCCCATGCATGGACACATGTGCTGCTGAGAGAGGGCACGGCTAAGTTCGGGTCGGTGTTCATGTATCCTGCCGGACACCGAGCTGTGCCAGCTGGTCCTGGGCTGATTCTGTGCTCTCGGACCAGGATTTGTGGTGAGGGAGGTGACAAGACAGGAGCGATGGGTAACAAGGTGGGAGCTCGCTCTGGTGCAAGATGCTGAATTTGTGTGCCAGTGACTCCGCGCTAGGGGATTAACAAGTAGAGAACCAGAAAAGGAAAAATCCTCTCTTGCTTTTCCTTTTCTTGTTGGGTGCACAAACCTCAATGAGTTTGAACAAGCCGTGAGTTTTGGACTGCATCTGTGCGTGCATGCACGCATATCGCACAGGCACAGGCAGGACTGGGGAGCCCACAAAAGATGCAGATCCTCAACCTGCCGTGCCCGGTTGTCACCCAGCTCCTCACACGCTCCATGCTTCCTTTTCTTGCATTCTCACATGGAAAACCCCGGCCGCTTCTGCTCCTCCCGGCACGGAGGGACCGGTGCCGACCCAGCGGCAGCGGGAG